ACAACAAGAAAGTAGTTACTTTCCATATCTGGTCTAATTAACGTGGGGATGGGGATCCCTAAACAATAGATGGGGAACCAGTGAGAACTCAGCAGATATCCTCCCTTCAATGGCTAGCTACTATCTTGTTTCCAAGGGACAGACGGCCCTTCCCCCACCCCCATATCTCACCTTTCAAGAGTTCAGGGTATGGAACGTGATGCTTCTTTGCAGGAGGTAGACTGAGCTCTATTAAGACTGGGGCTGGATTTGCCTTGTTCTCTGCTTTAACAGTCTGGGGCCTGGCACTTATTAGTTGTTTATATTAAAACACTTTATTAAAGATATTTCTCAAATACACAAAAAAGGCAGGACGAATTTTTTAAAGAACCCCCATATATCCTATCACCCAGCTTCAGTTATCAGTATTTTGCATGGTATGTATGAGGCCCTGAAGTATTTGTTGAATGAATGATGTGGGGAAAAGAGATGTTTTTTTGCTCAGTGATTCTTAGTAGAGTAAACACCCTACACTGCCCAAGACAGGTACCCCCACCAGACAAAGAGCTGTCTACCCCAAAATGTCAGTAGTGCTAAGGTTAAAAAACCCTGTTTTGCTTTTTTGCTCAGTGATTCTTAGTAGAGTAAACACCCTACACTGCCCAAGACAGGTACCCCCACCAGACAAAGAGCTGTCTACCCCAAAATGTCAGTAGTGCTAAGGTTAAAAAAACCCTGCTTTAGCTTATGCTGTAGTTTATCATAGAAAGAAATAAAATAAGGTAGTTCTTGACCAGCAAATCATCGCGCCTTAACAACTGCCTGTCCCCATGTGATTCAGAAAATGTTAAATCGATCCTCCCTGCTTGGCAGAGTTTTAAAAACTTTTTTTCTCATTCATTTTGAATTTTTAAAAAATAATGAGAATCTTATCTAACAATAACTGTTTTTTTTTTTTTATGCATATGTCCGTGGTTTTATGTATGGGTATAAATGGGATCATATTTAAATTTATTAATCTATATAAAGCTTAATAACAACATTAAACAAGTCACTTGTCCTATAACCCTAACATGACAACTTATATGTCTTTGTTCTGGACCATAGTTTCAGTTTCTGTGTGATCCCACTTAAATATTTTTATCTCCACATTTGACAGTTCCTATTTTCTGTGTGATCTTTATAGTTGTCTTTTGTTACACTTAATCCTCCTTGAGTTGCTTAAATTTCATATACAAAAACATCAGAGGAGCCAAATTATAATGCATGGTGATTACCTTGATTTTTCTGTTGTAGCCTCAGAATGTATGAAATGGGTAGGTATCTCACCAGCCCTGAGGATGTCAGGTCTGAGTTAGCCTTAAATAAGTTGCTATTAAAAACTCTCCCTCGTAATATTTTAGAGACTTCTCTCCCTTTGTGGCTGTTTGAGGACTCTGTGTTTACTGGCACTGGTTCACGTCCTGCAGCACATCTCTTGGAAAGGCAGGACGACATAGTTGATTGTGGTCTTATGCAGCCTTACTGCCTGGGTTCAAATCCTATCTGTTACTATTTACTGGGTATGTGTCTTTGGAAAACTGCTCCTTATATTCCTTCTTAGTAAAATAAAAATGTCTTATCTCATATGATCATGGTTAAAATTCACTAAATTAATACATAAAATGTACTTAGAACCTGGTGCATAGTAAGTGCTTAGTAAATTTTGACTTACTCACTAAGAGGACTAACCAGTGAGAAGTTCCACTCAGAGACATCTGTAAAGATACAGAGATCTGACATTTTATGGTTTGGTTAACTGTGCTTTTAGGGTGGCTAGAGCTCAGGGGAAGGTGGGTGGAGATGGTAAAAAGAGGGCTCAGGTCAGTATTAGGAGTGTTTTATTTACCACTCTTAGGAGTGTGGACTTTACACTATGGTCAGCTCGGAACATTTAAAAACTTTTTTTAATAGCATACTATTTTATTCCTAGTTATAAGTGCACACTTTACGCAGATTTGTCTTTATTACTCTTTCCTGCTACAGAAAGTGACTCATAGTAGATTCTCAGTAAATCAATTTCAGTAAATGAGTAATTGCTCTAGTTTATCTAATAAAACCAGGTCCTTAACAAAATGTTCTACCATAAGGTACAGCAGAAGAGCTATAGAAAACTGCTTCCTTAGACACTGGTATAGTCAGCTCTGTGTTATGTGTCCAGCCTTTATCAACCAGAAACCTTCATTTTCTGGTGCTTTGCATTTCAATAAGAATTGATGTTCATATGATGACTTTGGAGCACTGAATGGTTCTGAAGTGTCTCTGAATCATCAAAGCAAGATTCAGTTATGTTAGGAATATTTAACGTGAAATTTAAGGGAGCGACACCATCAGATTGTGTCACTGGGCTGGAGGGAGATAGCGATTAGGAGATTAATTAGGAAGAGATCTAGTAATCTAGGCAAGAGGTAAGGGTTTGAATTGAAGTTGTGGAAAGCCAGGAAGGGATGAATTTGAGAGACATTCTAAGGCAGGATGAACCCAATATTGGGGATAGGGTAATGTGAGGCATTGGAAAATGCCTGAGGTTTCTAGCTTAGAACTGGTTAGTGTTAGGGAATTGGGATCATGAATGATAATGGATAGGTTGAATTGCCTGGGAGTGGTCAGTGGCGCTGTCTAGTGAACATCTGAAAATTTGAGTTTGGAGCTCAGGACAGAGAATAGGATGAAAAGCAGATTTGGACTGGAAGTCAAGAGATGGTTAAGACTACTACTGGAGAAGGTATAGGGCTTATTATCTTTTGAATTGGTACTTCAGAGTAGTGTTATGAAGTATAATGAAGTGACCGATGAAGACATTTAAGAACTCTCAGAAGTGCCTTTTTATTTACTTGATGGTGTTCTGCCCAATTCATGACTCATTCAGTAAAGCCAATTAGATCTTAAAAAAAAAAAAAAGACATTTGAGAACTCTAAATACTATGGAAGCATGTTGAAAGGCCTTCAGTTTTCCACTAGTCGTTTTTGGGTCTATGAAGAATTGGTCTCCTCGCGTAGAAAACTCAGATGTATTTTTGAGTTAATACTCTATGGATTTTAGTAGTTTCCAGGCCATCTTTTTTTCTTTAAAATGCTAGTAGCTTTGTTTGTTTCTGGTTATGAGAGTGATACAAGTCCATTGTAAAACAAATTGGAAAAAAACAGCAAAATGAAACTTATCCTACTCTGAGACAGTTACCATTAAACATGTGGCACACTCATTGAAGTACTTTTTTTATGTACATGTAAATAACTGACTTATTTTCATTGTACATGGAAATGTTTTCTCTCTTTCTCTCTCTCTCTCTCTCTCTCTCTCTCCAAGCATGTTTAGTAGCTGCCAATATTCCATTGTGTGGCTCTCTACTGGAGTGTTTTTAACTGTTATCCTATTGTTGGACACTTAGGTTGTTTTATGCTCTTTTGTTATTATAAATAACCTTGAGATGAACATCTAGATATTTGTCTTAAAAGGCTTAAATTAATAGGTTAAAGGTGATTTCTTAAAGATAACTGCTTTTATCTTGGGTACAAAATTTTGCCGTGATTTTGAGTTGCTAGCTGTTTTTAATTTCCTAAATATTTTAATTCTCTTGTATCGTCCTTCCTGCAGTGGAAGATTCTTCACAATCAGGCTCCCAGTTGCTCTTGATCCTGGGACCAAGATTTCAGTCATTGTGGAAACAGTTTATACCCATGTGCTTCAGCCATATCCAACCCAGATCACCCAGTCAGAGAAACAGTTTGTGGTGTTTGAGGGCAACCATTATTTCTACTCTCCCTATCCAACAAAGACACAAACGATGCGTGTGAAGCTTGCCTCCCGAAATGTTGAGAGCTACACCAAGTTGGGGAACCCCACGCGGTCTGAGGACCTCCTGGATTATGGACCTTTCAGAGACATCCCTGCCTATAGTCAGGTAGGCTCATGTGGAGTCTAGCCCATCCCTGTCTATTTCAGAGAATGTCTTCTAGAAAGGTTACTAATTGATAGGCTTGGGTGCTGTGGGGTGGGTGGAAATCCAAGATCATTCCTCAGTTTTTTAACCTGCTGTGGAAAGACTCTATTGTATTATCTTTCTCATTTTAGGAGTATAGATAGAGGCTGGTAGTTTAGGAAAACTTTTTAAAGGAAGTAGCATTTGGAGAGTTGGAGTGGGAATTGAGGGAGAAGGAAACAAGGCATTCTGGGCAGAGGCAATAAGAGGGCCAAAGACCTAGGGTTAGGAAAATGGATGGGGAAACATGTAGTGTGCTATCTAATGTGGCTAGGGTAGCTGCTGTGGGTAGTAAAGCTGGTTGCATTGCTGAGCCTGAGGATTGGGCCTTAAAGGTAGAGGGAGCAATTAAGGCTTAAAAAAGATTTTATGAAATTTCTCAACAAAATATTATCAGACCAAATTCAACAATACACTGAAAAGATCATACACCATGATAAAGTTGGATTTATTTCTGGGAAACAAGGTTGGTTCAGTATCCACAAATCATTTAATGTGATACACAACATAAACAAAATGAAGGATAAAAATCATATGGTCATAGTGATAGATGCAGAAAAAGCATTTGACAAAATCTAGCATTCATTGATTTATAAAACTCTCAGCAAAGTGCAAATAAAGGGAACGTATCACAATATAATAAAGGCCATAAAATGCAAACCCACCACTTACACATAGTACTAAACAGTGAAAAACCAGAAAGCATTTTCCTTAAGATCAAGAACAAGACAGAGATATCCACTTTTACCACTTCTATTTAACATAGTACTGGAAGTCCTATCCACAGTAGTCAGACAAGAAAAAGAAATAAAAGGTATCCAAATTGGAAATTCATTTTCAGGTAACATGATAGTACATATTGAGAGAACCCTAAAGATTCTACCAAAAACTATTAGAAATAATAAATGAATTCAATAAAGTACCGGGATACAAAGTTAATATTCAGAAATCTATTGCATTTTTATGCACCAGTAATGAACTATCAAAAAGATAAAATCCCACACGCTGCTTTTGAGCCCCTGTAGTGCCTGTTCATAGGCTGGCGGGCATCAGGCTACATCACCAGAGCAGGCTTTTGCACATAACTGGGGCTCTCTGTTTCCCGCTAGCAGCCCTTCAACTACAAGTGACAAGGTGTCACTGCTCTGCCAGGGGTTGTGACAATTCAGCCCTTAAGCCAAGGTCGAAATGCCCTAGGTAGATGTTGGGGATCCTGTAGGCTCTGCTAATTTGTAGTACCCTGCAAATTCCTGTGCCTGCCCTGTAAATCTCGACTCATCTCTTCATGGTGATCAGTGAAATATGCAGGTTCAGTTAACCGTAGTGTGGATGGCCTCTTTGGAGAGGGGAAGTAAGAAACAGGCTGTGGCCTTGAGCAATTTAAGAGCTTGGTGTATGTGACGGGAATGGGCTTCAGTCTTGAGGTACATGAACTTAACTCATCCGGCTAAAGTGTTGCTACATCCTTTTTACAAAAACTACCATTTAGGGCCAGCTGCTTATTTGGATACCATGCTAAGTGTGGGGCTAAACGTGTTGGGCAAGTGATTGTGTCCCAGTTAGCCTAAACAGCCTACAACAACAGGGTAGTTGTGAAGGTGAGTTAGATTTTTTGCATTACTGAGCACAACATAGGCACCTAAATAAGTGCACAGTCCTTTGTAATCTAGATTCTGGGTGTTGAACAATATCACCTGGGCTTAGGTGAAGTATGCATGAGTTCCGAGTACAAGGCAGCATGTATTGAGGGGCAAGGATGTACAAGTGTAGTGTAAATTGCTTTGGCATTTAATAACTGGAGGGGCCCCAAGTTAACAGGACTATTAGACAATTAAGGCTGTGAGTTCCGCTTCAGGAATATTGTCCCCCTCAGATCTTTAAATGTGGATTGAGGATAATAGCATGTGGCTCATGTCAGGGTATGGTGAATGACTACCTAGGACCCTTAAAAGAGAGGGCTGGTCCGATGATCACTCAGGAAAAATTTTTTTGTTATTTATTTATTTTTTTACGCCTACAGCACCTGGTCTTCCTAGGTGGTCTCCCATCCAAGTACTAACCAGGCCGGACCCTGCTTAGCTTCCGAGATCAGACTGGGTTGGGCTTGTTCAGGGTGGCATGGCTATAGTCTCACTCAGGAAATTGAAGCAGCTTTTTGACAGCTGAGGGCCTAACTACCCTGTACCCACTGTTTATTCTGTCCTTGTTATCTAAACAGGATTCAATAGAAATAACTTAGGTGCTTATCTAGTATTTGACATGAGAGATTTTGTGAAACAACACAAACAATTGTAAATTCCCACATACTATTTAAGTGAAGTAGGGTACAGTCATGTGTAATCTTTTTTACATAGTAGTTCATCTAGTTCTTTGCTTTTAGTTATTGCACAGAAATTATAAAGACCAGGTGAATGAGATATGCAGACAGACAAGCAAATTGGCCTGCTCAATGAGAAAGTAGAACAGTACATTGACTGGAATGGTCTAAGAAATGGAATAAGAGTTCAAATATATTTTTTTAATATATTAATTTCTTTAAATGTTCAGGGAAGGTTCTGTTTAAAAAAAAAAAAACACTATTTAATCCACAATGTAATTTATCACAAGTTACCCAAGGTAATTTTAATATTGAATGCAGCTTTAAACAAAAAATCATTTTGAAAACAAATTATACAATTAGATATGGCCTCCATACTTGTAAACTAAACATTCTGACACAAATGCTTGAAATAAAGATGGTAATGTTGAAGAAATTTAAAAAAAAATCACATTTATAATCACATAACAACAACCACCACCACCTAGGACTAAATTTAACCATGGAGGTAAAAGATCAGTACTTGGGAAATTATAAGACATTGAAGAAAGAAATTGAAGAGATGAATAAATGGAAGCATATATCGTGCTCATGAGTAGGAAGAATCAACATCATTAAAATGGACATACTACCCAAAGCAATCTTTTGATTCAGTGCAATCCCTATCAAAATACCAATGATATTTTTCAGAGAGCTAGAACAAATAATCCTAAAATTTATATGGAACCACAAAAGACCCCTAAATAGCCATAGCAATCTTGAGAAAGAAGAACAACGTTGGAGGTATGACAATACCTGATTTTAAACTATACCCCATGCTACAGTAATCAAAACAGTATGGTACTGCCATAGAAACAGACACACATAGATCAGTGGAGCAGAATAGATAGCCCAGAAATAAACCCATACTTTTATGGTCGATTAATCTATGAAAAAGGAGTCAAGACTATACAGTGGAGTAAATAGTATCTTCAGTAAACGGTATTGAGGAAACTGGACAGATATATGCACCAAAAAAAAAAATAAATAAACCAGTTTCTTACACCACATACAAGAATACACTCAAAATGGATTACAGACTTATATAAGACCCAAAACCATAAAATTCCTAGAAGAAAACATAGGCAGTAAATGCTGACATTGCTCTTAGTAATATTTTTTTTGGATGTCTTCTTGGGTAAGGAAATTGAAGAAAAAAATTACAAATGGGACGACATCAAAGTAAAGTCTTTGCACAGCAAAAGAAGCCATCAATAAAACAGAAAGACAGCCTACTGAATGGGAGAAGATATTTGCCAATGATGTATCTAATAAGAGTTTAATATTCAAAATATATAAAGAACTCATGAAACTTAATACTAAAAAGGCAATCTGATTAAAAATTGGGCAGAGGACCTAAATAGACATTTCTCCAAAGAGGACATACAGATGGCCAGTAGACATAAAAAGATGTTCAGCATCACTAATCATCAGAGAAATTCAGGTTAAAATGACAGTGAGATATCACATCACACCTGTCAGATTGGCTGTCATCAAAAATCAGCAGTTAAGTGTTGGCGAGGATGTGGAGAAAAAGGAACCCGCATGCGCTGTTAGTGGGATTGCGAATTGGTGCAGCCACTGTGGAAAACACAATGGAGGTTCCTCAAAAAATTAAAAACAACTGCCATTTGACCCAGCAATCCCACTTTTGGATATTTATCCAAAGAAATCCAAAACACTAATTCAAAAAATATATGCATCCGTGTTCATTGCAGCCTTATTTACAATAGCTAAGATATGGAAGCAACCTAAGTGCCCATCAGTAGACAAATGTATAAAGAATGTGGTACGTATGTGCAATGGAATATTACTTGGCTGTAAAAAAGAATGAAATCTTTACTGCTTGCGACAGCATGGATGGACCTAGAAGGTATTATGCTAAGTGAAATAAGTGAGAAAGAGAAAGTCAAATACCATATGATTTCACTTATATATGTAATCTGCAGAACACAATGAACAAGTAAGAAACTCATAGATACAGAGAATAAACTGATGGTTGCGAGGTGGGAGGGATGTTTGGGAGCTGGGTGAAAAAGGGGAAGGGATTAAGAAGTACAAATGGCACTTAGAAGTAGTCATGGGGGATGTAAAGTATAGCATAGGGGATATAGTCAATAATTTTGTAGTAACTATATATGGTGTTAGGCGGATACTAGACTTAACTGGGGTAGGGGATCACTTCATAAGTTATATAAATGTCAAATCACTATGTTGTATACCTGAAACTAATATAGTATTTAATTGAAAAATGAAAAAAATAAACTATAAGGAGAAAGTAGAAATAATCTATAATTCTTCCTATCTTTTGAGATTCTCATGTATTGCATTTCAGATTCTTTTTCTCACATAATTGTGATAAAATAGTATGTGGAGTGTAGTTTTTGTTTTTAAAACAAATGATATTTATGTTGAAATGTAAAACAATTTTGTGTGTCCTATTTTTCTATTTAATAACATGTATCATGTATATTTCCATATAGCATTAAAAAGTCTTAGTAAATATTATTTTAAAATATTGCATACATTAGATATCATAATTACTCTGTTGCTGATATACAGATTGTCTCCAATTAATTTGATTTAAACTCTGAACCACTTGTTTCCTTCCTCTGCAGGATACTTTTAAAGTACATTATGAGAACAACAGTCCTTTCCTGACTATCACCAGCATGACCCGGGTCATTGAGGTTTCTCACTGGGGCAATATTGCTGTGGAAGAAACTGTGGACTTGAAGCACACAGGGGCTGTGCTTAAGGGGCCTTTTTCACGCTATGATTACCAGAGACAGCCAGATAGTGGTATATCCTCCATCCGTTCTTTTAAGGTATGGTGTGTTCAACTTGGATGTTGGGAAAAACTGAGTTTATCATATCTGCCCTTGTGCTTGATTTTTGAAAGAAGGTAACTATGTACAGTTGCTTAAGATTGATGTTCAAGTAGTTGAGTGACAGAGTTAGAATCAATAGAATCTTTAAAAAAATGGTCCACTTTTATATAACTAGGCCATGTTTTTTAAAGCAAATTTGAATAATAGAAAAAGGAAAATCATTGTTCAGACACTAGTATTGCTGACATTTTTATATTTTTAAACTTTAAAAAGCATTTGATCATTCAGTTTTGTATTTTTTTTTTGTTTTATAAATGAAATCTTATTAGCATTTTCATGTACTTATATATGACTAAAGAGCTCACTGTGTGAACAAGGTATTACACTTCCTCTCCTCCCTTACCAACATGTGCTTACAGATTTAAAAGATACAATAAAGAATATTAGGTAGAGAAGCCCCTTCTATAACTGTCTGCCACCTAGTAATTTGATATAATTTCTTTTATCTTTAGTTTCCCTCTTTGTAAAATAACTTACAGATGTGTTTTCTGTATTCTTAAAGGTATTTATGATTCTCTTTATTATTTACTGTGTAGAAGAATTTGGCTGCTTACCAATCTAGATTGAGAAGTAGATTCAATATCTAGACATTTTGAACCGTTTTGGGGAAAGTTAGACTTTATTTTAGGTTGTTAACAGTTTGGGGACCATTTTAATTGAGTAGTACCTTGATGAAGGTCTTGGTGTATAAAGTCTTCTGTATTAGGATCATTTCCTCTGAAGAAGGTATGTTCACTCTCTTATAGACCATCCTTCCTGCTGCTGCCCAGGATGTTTATTACCGGGATGAGATTGGCAATGTTTCCACCAGTCACCTCCTTATTTTGGATGACTCCGTAGAGATGGAAATCCGGCCTCGCTTTCCTCTTTTTGGAGGATGGAAGACCC